TTGTGTGTTGCAGTTTTATTTAAACAATGTGATTTTTGTAGTTTTGAAAAACAGCTGCCCTCTTTGGTTAAATGCATCAAGGTGTGGGTAAAGGCCATATTTAAACACTGATTTTGATTTTTGTTATAATCTATTTTTATTTGACAGGAGAGAAAACTTAGGAGAGGTCAATGGCATACTCGGGGGAGAAGCTTGAATAGACCTATCATTCATTTTGCTGCTATCAGAGTTTCTGAAGGACCTCAACCAAAATTAAATAGCAGGTGTTCCTGCTTAGCAAGGGGCTGAACACAACACTGTTGAAATACACAAAACTGGAAATGAGGTTAGGGAAGAGACAGTAGTATTTATGTTACAGGTGGCAAATTGAAAGGTGTGCAGACATTTACTGTGTTTTAGTCTGGGGGGACTTGAATCACAGCCCTTAAAATTGTCTTGCCTTTAAGGCGCTGTAAGTACTGTGCTCAGGCTGGTGAAGACTATTAAGAGCTACACCTGTTAATTCTGGAATTAGCTACATAACTTTGGTACCACAAGCCAGGCTGGTCCTATGGCTACTCTCAGACATTGACTGTAGATTTTTATTTCTTCCCAGTTGTTCATACTGCTTCTCCTGCAGCTTTGAAGTGACATTCCCTTTTCTAGCATGATTGGTCTTATGCCATTAGACAAACTCTGGATTCTTTCACTGTTGATTCCAAATCTAACAGAAACCAGTGTAGCTCATGAGTGTTTACTTCTTTGTTTGTGCACTGGTATTATTGCTGAACTTTACCAGTGAAAGAGGTTGCCAGGACTAAACACAAAATGTAAATGGAAGTAGATGTATTGTTGGAAACACTGGTAAACACTTTCTGTGTGGCTGTACAATGCAAACTGGGAAGTTACTCTTGTTTTGCTGTGAGAGCTCTGGAACATGCTGCAGTTCCACTGCCTGAATAACCTATAGGCTGAATCTGAAAATGACATTTTTCATTAAAATGGCCTTGTTTGTGCTTCTTGCCAGTAGTGGTTATCTGGCTGAGCAGGGACATTGGCTTTGACACCAAGAGCATGAGGGCTGCCTGTAGGACATTGAAATTCTAGTTTCCGACCTGATTTATAAGTAGTTTATACTTTAAGCTTTCCTGTTTAGTAGTTAAATAAACTGTTTAATGTTTAAAAACTAAAATTTTTGTGATAATTAAACCAGTATGCAGGAAAAAACCTGAGCATGGCCACATCTTGGCTGAGCCTTTCAGTGTGTTCCCACAGTTCAGATCCCAGTTCTGCTCTGAAAGATCTCCTGGTTGCGGAGCACTGTGGAAAGCTCATGTAATCCAGCACTGTGAGCACTCACCTCATGACTGTATATTTATATCCACTTGTCTCCTATTCACAAAATAGATTGACAAGATGTTAGGGAATACACTGCAGGGAAAATACGATGTTGTGGAGGCAGATACATGGCCTGGCAGAATTTTCCATCTACTTATTTCTGCTGTTGCAGTATTACTGTGTAGATCCAAACTGGAAGATGATTCATGCAGACCGTGCATGCCACCTTGATTTTACATTCTACCCTGTTTGTGGCACTCTGGAAATTATAAGGGTACCCAAATAGTGTAATTCAGCAAACACACCTACTTTTAGCTGTCAAGGATATCTGGCTCTTTCTTTCAGCGTGTGGGGCACAACACTAAGTTCTACACTTGGCTCTAGATGAAAAAGTGTTCTGTTTTCCTTATTATTATAAACAATGCAGCACAGCAGTGGGAGTCAGGAGAGTCAGAAAGTAAGAACCCTGCTGATAAAAGCTCCTTACCCTGCAGCAGCCTTTACAGGTTATCAGGAAAAGTGTGCATTCAGAACATGTTAGAAAAAACTTGCAACAGCATCCTATAGCATAGTCATAAAGACAAAATGACAGCATGCACCTGACAAATAGCCAGAATAAGAGGGTGAATTGCATCCTTTCTGTTTCTTTGTTGTGTATAGCATCTTCAAAAGTGCAGTAGTAAGTTTTTATAGCTGTGAGAGGCAGAGATGAAGCTGAGTATGTAATTCAGCTTCAATGCTATGAAGGTTAATACCGTGAGCAGCCTATAGCAGAACAACTGCAGGTTGAAGTAGCAAAACAATACAAAGTGGTTTTGGGGAGGGGCAAAAAAATCCCTAATCAAAAAAAGTACATGTGGATAGAGATCAAAAGGGAAGGCTGTAGATGGAGATCTTGGCTAATTAAAAAGTTGCAGTGTTAGTGAAGAGCGAAGTGGGTAAAATGTAAAGCAATTAGTCACCAAGGAGTCTGTGTAAAAGCAGGACAGATTTGATCAGCCTCAGAGTAGTTCACATGTGAAGATGGGAAAAACAAGTAGGCAAGAAGAAATTGGGATAGGCAATTTTAGGAGCTCGTAAAAAAGGGCTGTTGCTGTCTAGAAAATTGCTGTTGGCTGCTTTGTGGCAGTGTCTTCTAAGCTCATTAGCGAGTTAGTGATGATTTTACTGGCACAGTTACTTTCCTGAATCTTTTTTTGCACTTCGCATTTTTGTTTGCTGATAGTTTATCAGAAGGGGTTTTTCAGGAATGTTAACTCTTAAAAAAAATGATATATTGACCCTTGAATACTTTCTGACATGCAGGCATGCTTCAGAAATGGCCACCAGTGATTCCATCTGGATTTCTCTGCTTGTTGAGCAGAGGCCTCCATGCATCATATACCCTGCTGTTTATAGAGGTAGCTGTACATATGGCATGGAATCTCAGCCAGGGTTTGAAACTGCCTGTGCTATACAGGCACAGTGGGAGCCTTAGGAATTGAACTTCATTTATGGAAGTTGTCCATGGGTTTTGGAGGTGCCCTGTCTTTCTGTAGCCAGAAAAGATTGCTCAGCACTGAGGCTGGGAAACAGCCAGGTGAGACACTGGAAGCAACAACCTGTGTTATATTAACATAGTTGGAAAAAAAGCTGCCTTTGCTGAACAGTAACTTGTGAAATACCTGAGGTTTCTTTGTGACCCTTTGACAGTCAGGAAGCACAAGTGACCCTTGTTATTAAAAACTACTGCATGGAATATACCATGTAGTGTGCATGTTAAAATACTGAGCAATTGAGGTGAAAGAGAATCTGATCACTAGCATAGAGGAGGGTCCTGTCATTGAGAAAGAAAAGAAATAGTCTTCTAAGACCACCCTTTCTAAAATAGACTTTGCCACATGTATGATGAAAATAACATGGTGCTCTTTATTCTGGCTTTCCCAGATTTTCAAAATCCTGCTGATCCTGATGTTATTTTGGCCTCTGCTGTGTAGACCCTTCTCTCCAAACATAGCTTACAAGGGACACAAAAGCAAAATGTTGCTCATGGCAAGCAAACCTAAATCCTGTCTTCGGTTCTTACTTCTTGTGCCTGCAAAAGCAATTACGAGTTTTCTTCATCATCACTGAAGGTGTAGGGAAGTCTGGAAACGCATGTACAAGCTCCCTGAGAGCCTAGGTCTGGAGTCTCACTATTGCCTCCTCACAGTTGGAGAAGTCATCTTTTTATGTCTAAAGTTAAGACTGCAGACTTAAAAATGGTGCCTTCAGGGAGGCCATGTTATGACATACAGGAACCAAGTGCTTTGTTCTGAGCCCTCTAATCAGCTTATGCTCAAGTATCACTGAAATCAATGTGGTGAGTCCTGTGAAACGAGTGGTGGACACTGTCTTGTTACATGGAACTTCATTGCTCCCATTAGGGTCTGTAGCGACTGGGACACGGATACCCTCGCTGGTCAGCAAGAGAATAATTTATTATTTATTTAAGGCCTCTATTTATAGAAGAACTAGTTTCATCTTTAACCTATCAACAAGCAGTACTTGGCCCTATAAAATTACAGTATGCATATTTCTACCCATCAACAGCTAATGTCCATCTTTACACCTATCAGCTTTCAACATGCTTTTTGTTTTCTTCAGTCATCTTCTTCTTCTGGGTCATGCGACCTTTGGCTCCACGCACATTGTAGACACTTCCTCCTACCTTCTACCACTTTCTCTTCTGTTCTGGCAATGTCCTCTGCTTTGATAACCCTTTAAGTTCTGCTCTGGTCCACAATCCTCCATAAGGGTCTTCTCAGCAGTCTCAATAAAACTGCCAGAAATGTAGAAAGGCAGGGCTGACTGACAGATTTTTCTCCTCAAGGTGATCTGCGTGGATAGATGTCAAGGAACATTGACAGCAGCATCTGAAGGGTCATAATGTGGGATCATCTTTTTCTGTGATGTGCAGGCTTTGAACTCTCAAGCAATTTTCATTGGTAGTTCATCTACTGCAGTAATTAGAAAAGTACAGTTTTATGGAGTACAGCTTGATCCCATCCACAGCTCATGGTCTGGTCCTAATGGCTTGTTCTCTTCTGAATTCCTTGGAGTCTTGCTTTGTGCTAGAGTGATTGTGAGCAGGCTTATGACAAGGCAAGCTGGAAGGCAGCTTGGAAAGGGTTTCCCTTGCTTGGGGGGATTTCCAGACCAGAGTTCCCAGAACCTGACTCTTGAAGGTAGACATAGGCTGGTATAGTTGTGAGGGTGTGGTGCTCTGTGTTTACAGACAAGTCAAAGACTACCACTTCCTCTAAGGTTGAGACTCTGTATTGTGGTCATGGTCTAGGCACAGTTGGCCTGTTCTCAAGTCCTTTATATAACCAGCAACATTCTGTTGTGTGCACCCTTTGCACATGCATGGAACTCTTCCTTCAGGAGATCACAAGACAGTTCATAAATTCAAGTATTCACTTTGTAGGTGAAGTTCAGAAAGATGAGCGACTGCTGAGGATTAAAAAGCTAATCAGAGGTAGAGCAGAGAACTTAAATAACACTCTTGTCAGCTGCTTTGTCATTATTCCTAATAGGTGTTTGCAAAAACCCCAACATTAAAGTAACACTTACAGTTGGCTGATATGAGATGTAAGTATCTAAACTAGCACATTTACTGTTCTGCCTACCATTGACTTACGTTTTGATATGTTTGTTTCCAGGAACACCTGTCTGGTTCTTTGTGAAAATTGCTCCAATTCGAAATGAGCAGGATAAAGTGGTTTTATTTCTTTGCACTTTCAATGACATAACGGCTTTCAAGCAGCCCATTGAGGATGATTCATGTAAAGGTTGGTCTTTTTCACAATAATGTATTTATGATGCTTTTGTTTGTTTGCCCTGGTCTTGAAAGAGCTGAAGTCCTTTAAATACCAAATCCAAAGAATTAAATGTTACAATGGCTTGTAGCCGTGCCACTGGGGACAGCATTTGTGCAAGGGATGGTTGCTGGTTTTGTAAGCAAATTGTCTCTGGCCTGCCCTGGAAAGGGTCATTGCTAATGAAACCCCCAAGTGCTTCAGAAAGCACGTTTTATTTAGTAAATAGGTACTGCTCTTCCTTTTAAATACATTATTAACCCACAGTCTAGCATAGCCTTCAGGGATTCATAATGTTGCTAAACAGCTCTGTACAAATTGTGCATGAAACTGTACACAAAAACCAAGGAATTAACCCTGGCGGAGTCTGGCAAAGATCTGAATAATTTCATTCTGCCTGGCTTGATGTTTCTTGCCATTATTGTGGGATTCCTTATATTCAAGTTCTGGACTAGTTCCCTTTAACCTATGTGAAGAGATTCATCTTGAGTTGAATCAGGTTTAAGCTGTCCTGGTGTGTGAAGTAGCATTGCAGTGTTCTGCTGTTAACCCTTCACTGAGTTACAGCCTGGAAACCTGGAAGCAAACTCGGCTGTGACAGCAGCATAAACTTGCACTCAGGTTCAAATCCTGTCAGAAATAGACCTTTTGTACTCATAAGAAGCATTACAGAGACTCGTGTCCTTCTGTTGTTTGCATTTTTGTAGTATTTAATAATATTTGTAGTATTAAATTAAACAGGAAACTTACTGTGAAGATGAACTGATTTACATTTGTTTTAAAAATGTTATTCTTTAAAAACATGGTTTCTCAAAGTGGAAACACCTGTTACCATGAAAAAGGAAGTACAACCTTGACAAACATACCCTCTCCCAGGCTATGTGGGTAATTTTTTTTTCTTGTTTTAATGCTATTTGTTTGGGCTTTTATTGCTTTAATAAAAGTAAAAAAACTTACCTTGTCAGAAACTTTGGGTCTACAGTATTTTTTCCCTGCCTAGTGGTCTTCACTGTATCCTAATGAGGACTGACAAGCTGGCGTTCATTTGTTTGCTGGTAGTGAAAACCTTTGTTTCACTTAGTTGATAAGCAGGACTTCCAGTCAGGAGTGGTAGCTGTCTTTTCTCTTTGCTTTCACAGGAGTTCCTTAATGCGGTAGAGGTAGCCAGTTTGTCCTTTGCTTTCGGCACAAAGAACACTGTAACTTTTTTGTTTTCAAGAGAAATATGTTGGAGAAAGAGAATGCTAATTTTATTTTATTTTTTAAAATCTCATTGGATCTTGAAATCATGCTGTTGTTGCAGTGGTCATGGTAATTCTCAGCAGTTGCATATCTGCAGTAATATAAGCACTAAACCTACATAAAAGTGAGGAGTTGCAGAGGAGTTAATGATGAGCAAAATTTCTTCCTCTAGCCCATGGAAACTGGTAGAGCATCTAACAAAGGTTGCAGACAGAAGAACTGGATATATTATTTAGAGGCCACTGATTCACAGCTCTGTACTTCTTCCCTGACCTATCTCCTTATGTACAGAAGGGCTTGTGCGCTAAATGAGTCTTCCAAATATAATTTCTGGATCTCCTAAAATTAATAAAGTTCCAGCAGTTTCATGCTGATAGGGAGTTGTCTGTCGCTGTATACATAGATTAGGCATGGTATAAATGAAACTGCACTTTCTGTTTTCATCCTTAATTTAACCCCTATACCTTTCTTTCAGTTACTTGCTGTAGGCTAGCTTTGAAATTTTGTTGTGTGCATTTAAGAAGGTGATACTGTGTCAGTTATTTGATGGCTAAATAATCAATTTCTTGGAAGAGCTGATTGGTCAAATAGTCAAACAGAAGTTTACATGCATATCCACGACTTTAATATTAGATCTCATTGTGCAGTTGTATATTGTGAAGGGAGGAGGGGGAAAGGTACTTATGGAGTGTCAGACAATTGTCTGTAGTAGGTTCTAGAATTTATAGAGTGGAAAAACCTTTTTGGAAGATTTAAAAAAGGTAAAATTGTGTTAGCTTCTTCTAAGAATCATTATTTTAACAGATGTGAGCTTTGAAGAGGGCATATTCTTTGTGCTATATTCAACATTATGTAGGAATTTTGTAGCTTGGCTTTGAAAGAACAATTTTCAAGGGAATGTTTCTTGTATTCTAAACCCAAACAAGCTCTCAATCTGAAAAACTAAAACTGTGAACTTAGTGATTGTTTAAGTGAAACAATTGAAAACTGATTGCTAAAACAATTATTTTTCCTTCTTTCACCTTCAATCAGCTTTTATCACTTTTACCAAGTTTATATGCGAAGTTAGTTTTCTATGCATATGACCACTCAATATGTAATAGGCTGCCTGTAGAAGCAAATATTTTATTAACATATGTGCTATTTGAACAATTTCATAGTGGCATAAAGTATTCACGTTTTTCAAAATCAATGCCTTTATGTCTATGTAGAGAAAAACTTTATGTAGTACAAGAACATGATCAATTTAAAGAGTAAATAATCTGTCAGGCTAAACCTGCTTATCTGTGGTATATTAGTTTTCTATCACCTGCTGGCAATTTCAAGCCTGATTGTTCAGCTGCAAATGATGTAGAGACTTTTTGATTGAGAAGTGTGGAGCTCTGATCGCAGGTGTTTGCTACACAAAAATGAACAGGCATCTTTTATCTGAAGGTGACTCAGAGATAGAAGGTCCCAGTACTGTTTTTCATCTTAATTATTTTTTAATTTATTAATAATGTTAGACATTGGAATAGATGAAACAAAGTCATGTAAAGGGTAGACTTCTTATTGTAGTCTTTGTTGATTGATTCAGATAATTTACAAGATGTTTATTTTATGACTACCATGGAAAGTAAGTAAGCTTGCTTTTAAATGCAGCAGCTTTAAAAATAGTGCATTCTAAATAAAACTACTTAAAAATAGTGTGCCTGTGATGTGGATGATACAATATTTTTAAACAACCTCTTTCCACTCTTTCCTGTGTGCTTGCCCCTTTAAAAAATCAGGGAAACTAGGTTTACTTGAATAGAAGTAGGCAAAATCGAGCTATATCATGGCTAAATTTGGATTGTCAAGTGGTAGGTCACCTTCTTAGCTTAATTTTAGAGTATATACTGTATTTAGAATTAATGCATTTTGTCTGTATATGTCTTTCTTGGTTTGAGATCTAACAAACCAATGTTAGATGTTTGAGAATAGTGTAGAAAGTGAAATGCATCACTTTGTGAAAACAACTGTTTGAAGACAAATAGAATCTGTGCTTGCCCTCCAAGTAGCTCATAAGAAGTTTGCCTGAACAGGTTTTGAATGTATGAATACAATGGGAACATATTCAGATGCATCTATGCTGCCTTATAAAACTTTTGAAGTGATGCTTTGGATCCTAATTTTTGCTTTTGATACTTTGTATTTATACAAAAAGGTGATAAAATTAAACATCACTGAATCATATAGGAGAATGGTTATTAGCCTCCTAGATATTGTAGCCTCCTGTGCTTTGTAGCAATTATCAGTTGCTATCTCCTCTGCAGAAAATGCTTTATTTCATTTTGCAGCTAAGCTGTCCTTTGCATAACAAGCAGGGCTACACACCAAAAAAAATATTTTGATTGCCTCCTTCATCTTAATTCAGGGGAAAATCCACATTTTATTTTTCCTTTTTGTTTCTGTTTTGTGTGTGTGTGCGTGTGTGTGTATGTGGGTTTTTTTTGTTGCTGTCTAATTTTTTGTTCTGTTTTTAAAGATGTATTTATATGAACAGAGCCAGTGTTTGAAATATTTTGATTAAGTTATACTCAGCTTTCATCTGGATGAAATGTTTTCTTAAAAAAGGAAACAAATGAAAGGGAAGTGGTGAGTTTATTAAAAACCTTTGGTATGCTTTCCCAGTCCAGATGGGAAAATAATACAGTGTTAGTCATGAGGTTTCAAAGGGAAGGAGCACTGCAGAGAAGCATGATGGATGTAAGTAGGGATCTTTGATGTGCAAGAATATAAAGGTGGTTTGAATGGAGGTAAGAACTGCTGGAATTCTGCTTTTCTCACGTTTACACAGTCGTGTGAACAATAGACCCATGGACAAACAAGCTTGTTCTCTAGCAGGGAATGGCTCCTTCTTCTGATTCCAGGCGTTGTGTAAGCCACAGATCAGCAACTTGATAACAAACGTTCTGCAGCTACCACAGTTCCTAATGTTTAAATTTACGAGTCATCATGATCAGACTGAGGAGAGTGGTAGGAAACAAATAACTACCTACAAATAAATAATAAATGTTGTTGTGGTTGAGTATCAACAGATCATGCTCACCTCAAAGTACAAAAAATTGGTTTCTTCAGCTTGAGACCATTGTTAAATAAAGCTTTATACTTGAATGAATAAAAGGTTTGAGTTAAATATCACATCACAGAAGTATGTTTCAATGCCATGTTTCCCCACGAAACAAAGCTTTTGTCCTCCTTGTGGGCATCTTGTCTTGGGTGTTTTCAGAAGCAACTTCTGTTCAGCTTTTTGCAAAGAAATGGTGGAAAACTGAAGGAGCATCATGGTATGCAGAAGCGCTGAAATCAGTGCTGTTAATCTTGAAGGCTCTTTCTTCATCCTTTTGAAGCTGAAGGTGTTTTAGTGCTGTGTTATTGTTTTGTCTCTGAATAATATTTTCTGCAGAACTGAAAAAGGAGACCAAACAATGATAAAATTGGGTTAGAATCAAAGACAGGCACAGGCAAGCACAACCATGGAGGTTGTATTTAGCTTTATGTTTGCTTCTTGAATTCCAAGCTGACTTCTCTTACCTTGTTTGAGGAATATATATGCCTATATTAGAATCACATAGCCTCAGTAGATTTCAATTTAATTTATATTTTCTCTTTTTCTGGAGGAAAAGAATGGATGTAAGGATATACCAACTGCTTGTGTTGAATGAGAATAATCCATATCATCTGATCCTTCTGTTCTAGCATGACTGACACCACTCTATTCCTACAGCATTCTGTAACTTTGTTTCTTGTCTTGGATGGATCCATGACCCTTAAAATTTAGTGTTTATGTTCAGTCATGTGCCTTAAGTCCATTACTTGACCTGTCTTTACTGGATAAATATCTGACTTGCTGTAGGCTGCATCTGTCCCTAGGATTCTGGAGGAAAAATTGGAATAAATTCAGCTGCTGTCTTTTCAGAAGAAATTATCATTCAGTAGTATTAGTACTGGCATTCTCTCTCATTTTCATTTTCTTTCTCCACAGTCTACTGGTCTGTTCTAATTTGGCGTTGAATTTCCCACACTTTTGTCTTTGGGTTTGTTTATTTGTTTGCTTTTTTGTGAAAGACAAACAACCCAAAAGTCAGTACAAGGAGGAGAACCTTCTGTTCTAAAGATGATATTCATGCAGCTGGGACATTTGCATGTTGATTCAGTGCCTGGTTTTAGGCATACTGTTGCACAGGTGCATGCACCACTCCAGACTGGGTTCCCATGTGTTGTACATGTAAAGGAGGGTTTGGGTATGTACTTCCAGCCTGCCATTTTCATATCAGCACTGGTTTTAAAAGCTGAGCTAAAAAGCTTTGCCTCGGCACAGTTTCTTGCCTATAACAAACAGTTGTATTGTTTTCAGATCAGATTTGGAGTATAGGGTGAGAGATCTAATGTTCATGAAAACAGTTCTTTTGTGCACCATTTAAGCACCCACAAGTGAGATTTCCAACATGTAGGGTAGATGAGATGCTTATAGGGAATGCTGGGGAGAGAAGAATGGGTTAAGCTGAACCTTTCAAAAGGAGATGACTCCTGGGAAGAAGGGCAGGTACACAAAGGTGCTCAGCACTCATAGCGACAGATCATGTCACAGAGTTGTCTGGCAGTGCTTTTTTGCAAAAAAACTCAAGTGAGGTGCTTCCTTTTCCTCATATCTCTATTTATGTCTGAATAGCCTATATCTTACAACATTCAGTGTTAGGAAGAAAATGCACACTGAAAGTTTGTCCTCGGGTTTTGAACCAAACTTTGAATCTTCCTGAAAAGTGCCCTACCCATCAGTCTGGTTTGACTTAGTAAAAGGAACTGTCTATGTTTATCTGGAATTATAAATATTTTATGTCTGGCAAGGAAGGCAGATTTCGAGTTCCTGTGTGAAGCTGGAACGCTGTGGTCTGTTCTGTTCGTCACTGGGGCTGCCGTTTGGAAACAAGCCCCGTTCGTCCTGGTTCAGCACCACGGCCAGCGCCACCGCCGCACCGCCGGACCGCCCGCTGCCCCGGCAGCCCTCCCTCGCCAGGGCTGGAGAGCGGGCGGATTGCTTATGTCCTCTTGGACCACAGCCCCCTCGGGCCCCGTCGGTCTGGCCAGCTGCACAGTTCCTCACCTGGGTCGCGGCAGTCCTAAGCACAAATACGAGCTGGAGTGAGAGCACCCCTGCAGAGAAGGATGTGGGGATGTTGGTGGACGAGAAGCTTGACAGGACTGGGTGATGTGCACTTGAAGCCAGTTGTATAAAGCCAGCTGTATCCTGGGATGTGTCAAAACCAGTGTGGCCAGCAAGTCGAGAGATATGATTCTCCTACTGTACTCCAACCTTATGTGACCCCCCCTGGAATACTGCATTCATCTCCAAGGCCCTCAACATAACAAGGACGTGGACTTGTTGAGTGAGTCCAGAGGAGGGTCACAAATATACTCATAGAGATGGTGCACCTCTGCTGTGCAGGCAGACTGAGAAACTTGTGGTTGTTCAGCCTGGAGAGGAGAAGGTTCCAGGGAGAACTTATAGCATTTTCCAGTACACAAAAGGGGTCTACAAGAGAGCTGTAGAGGGAACTTTTACTGGAACCAGGTTCTTATTATAAACTGAGTCTTCAAAGTGCTGAACATCCTTAGGTGGAGTAGGAGATGAGACTGCTCAACAGTTCCCATGTGGTGCTAACGTTTTTCAAGATTGGGACTAAATGCACCAATGTTTTCCTTTCAGGGTACCAAAAATATCCAGATGTGTACTCTACCTGACTTTCTGTTATGGCAAAGTACTGCCCATAAAGATTATAGTTGTAGCTACCTCTTGTGACTGTCGTTCAAAGTCTTCTATTTTGAGGGGTATTTGAAATCACTGTAAAAAATATTGTGAATTAAAATTCAGCATATGACTTCTCTGACAGAAGCTGCTAAATGTTTTATTAGAGTTTGAGAAAATCTATTAGTATATTCCCCCTTTTGTTTCGAGAGGATAAAATTAATGATTTTGTTTTGCTCTTCTGCTCTGCTTTTTATTATCTTTTGTATATTTCTCTGCTTATGCCAGATCTATGCTTGATACATCTGAGGTCAAATTCACTTCTGTTACAGACAACTCTAATTTTCATTCTGTGTTACTTTAGTCTTACATCTTGATTAGTCTGGAGTGTCTTCTGTGGTGCTGAGAGATCCAAATCTGGTGATTGGATTTAATAGAAGATTATTGTATAGTGGACACTTATCCTTGCAAAATATGCAGTTCATGTAACAGCACTCTTGTAGAGCCACTGAATACAAAGCTACTGCAGTAATGGGTTTTATTACAGTACCATGCTGACACCTATTTTGTGACTTGCTTTTATCTGGTACTTGCCTAAATTATAGGCCCTTGTGGTCAGTATTGAAGCAAATTGTTCTGTTTGAGCTTCACCTCCCCCCCTTAGTTATAAGAGGTTTTATATGGTACCCTTGCAGCTTTTTTTGGGTAATGTGTATAATCTTGCACATTTTCTTGCAGGCTGGGGGAAGTTTGCTCGCTTGACTCGTGCCCTCACGAGCAGCCGAGGTGTCCTTCAGCAGCTTGCTCCGAGTGTCCAGAAAGGAGAGAATGTTCACAAGCATTCGAGACTTGCTGAGGTAATGTTTTATTTCCCTGAGAGGCTGTAATGTTTTTAGCCTTTTTGAGTATGTTGTCTCTGTGTGAACCAAGCACTGTGTCCCCCTTGCCCTGGGAATCCGAAGGCTGGTGGCAGGCATGGGAGCTCAGAATATGGTGCATGTGCTGTGAAACATGTCCCATGACACTGGAATGGAAACAGAGGTCCAAAAGACTTCATGTAACCTAATTACAGCATTGTGTTCCATATTTTATCAAAGTCTTTTAACGGCACTATTATTAAAATAATTCTTGCTTTGTTTCTATTCTTCTGAGGATCTCAAGGTTAGTAGGATCTTGGACTATTTACTTATGTAAAATTGAGGTGAGAAAAACTCAGGCTAATACACAAGGAAATTCTGGAGAATCCTTGACATGAGTGTTCTCTGAATTAATTTATGTCTGGTTACTTTTCAGTGGGATCCCAACTCTGCTTTACAAACTGGTTAAAATGTATGTTTGAGTTACTGGCTTTACAGACAGAACAACTGTAAGATGCCACAAGTAACACTGCAGACAGATCAGGAAAATGAAACCTTGTGATTTAGGTAGTCTTTCAAAGTTTTGAGAAAAGCTCCAGTCAGAGAAGGCTCTTTGAAGTACTTAGGGTTTGAAGGCTTTCACCACGAGGGGGAGAGACTGTCACAAGTTTCCTGTAGCTGTCTCCTGGGCCAGTAGCAGGGTCTCCCTGGTGTAAAAACAGCTTAGGGAAAGGCTTGATATATGATGTTAATGACAGCTTGGCCAATAAAACATGTCAGTCCTGCTTTACTTATTGCTGTGAAAGCCATGGCAGCAGCTGTGACTCTTGTCAAAAATTTTTGATCTTCCTCTGTAGCTGGAGGTGTAAGGCATTGATGGGTTCCATGAAGTCTCCATATAGTTAGCACTCTGTTAGATTTGCCTGTATACACCTTAGTTTCTATGCAAAATAAAAACATCCTGGCCAGGCTGTACTGTTATCACAGATAATGATGAAATTGCCGCCCTGGAGCTTACCTATTCAGTGTTTAATACAGAACTACTCAAGAATGGAAGTTGGAAGTACAGAAATAACATAGATCATCCTAGCACAAGGGAGGGGCAGACATTCACATAGATACCATGGGACTAGCACATGTCCACCCTGAGGTTGCTTTAGTGTCCTGGAATTTGGAATAGTCTCCCTCTTAATCCTACTCAAGGCTTAGCATCAAATAATCCTGTCTCTCTTTAGATGTCTGCCCTTGAATTTTAGTTCATGCTAAAATGTATTCAGTAGAATGTAAGGCAAAGGGTCTGAGGTTATTCTCTTTGGCTCAGTGAACCTCAGCCTGGACCTCAGTGACTACATGTTACTGAAATTTCTTGCAAGCCCACGTGCTTAACAAGTCTTTGCAAGTATTCTAACTGGCACAGCCAATTGATTAATAACAAATAATAAAGGGCAAATGTATGGTTTACATGTCTGAAATGAGTTTCTTTAATTGCTGACTGAATATTGCAGTCATTATTTTATAAAGAACATTAGCCCCAACTGTGATGTTAGGTAGCTTGTTGAATTTCTCCTGTAATTCCATTTCAGTCAATAGAACTACACTAGAGAAAAGGAGAGTGCAGATAATCATACAAACAAGACCACTTTTCTTACTTTGAAGATATATGGGGTGCTAGGATTCTTGTTCTGGAAAGATCTCTTCATAATATTGAACATTGGATCTCCCACTGTTCCCTGTTGTATTTTCAGTTATTTTTTCTTTTTTTCCCCCTTCATCCCTGCAGTAGTCTGTTTGAAATTTTAAATTCAAATTAAAATTCATCCTTTTTCTTTTCCAACTCATTATGACATTTACCATCAATCTTGTTTGCATGAGAAGGCTCTTCATTTATTGGAATATTACTCGTGTCACTCCTAGTTCTTTATCACTTATATTTTTGAATATCTGAGGAGTCAGTTGTGTCCTAAAACCTGAGTGCAGCAAGGTGTTGCACAAATAGGAAGCAGAAGCATGCCACAAAAGCTTATGATTTCTTTTATTGTTTATTAAATAGTTTAAGAAAGGTGCTACTGCCAAACTACTTTGTTTTATCCTCAGGTCATGGGTAGTACAAGCAGTGTCTATGAAGCTTCAGTCTTTGACTTTTGCCAGTAGGCATAGATTTTTTAACCTGACTTCTCTAATAGCAGTCATATGAAAACTACTTAAATAAATTACGCAATTAACACAGGGTTGTCAGGTAACTCTGAGGCTACATTTTGCGATGAGAGTGTAAAGTAATTAATACATTTCTGTGGCTTAATCACCAAGAAGCCGATTGTAGGAATGATTATTCCTGGTCACTTCATAGTATGTGTGTCATCTGCACCAATGGTCTTAGCTGATGTGTTCTGTACACTTACCAGGCAGTTCTGGGTAAACAAGATTGTGTCATAAGTAAAAAAAGTGCAATAGTTGTAAGAAATAAAAGCAGAAAAATTATAAAGGTGCTTAGCAGCACTGCTTAATAATGGAACTCCTGCCTTTTTTTTTTTTCCAAACCTTGTTTACCAGGAACTTAAAACTGCCATTAAAATCTACTCCAAGTTGAGGCTTAGCACCTAGCTCTTAGCTTGGGAGCAATTTGTGTGGGTGCCTGTGAAAACAGAAGTAAAGGAGAGTGAGGGAGAGCAAATATGTGCAGTGAAAACACAGAAAGGAGAGATTAAGCTGGAAATAAGTGATTGTTTGTGTATGTGTTAGCTTTTTCCCCTTCCCCCCAGTCATGAGATCTTAAAAATAAATAAGTCATTGTAACCACTTGTTGATGCACTTTTGGAAGTCCTGGCTCAGGATATATTCACAATTTTTTAACAAATTTAGGATTTTTTTTTTTAATTTTGCTATGTTAAAAAAATCCACAAAAAAAACCCCAACCCCCACAACCTTGTGAAACCAGTGGTGTAATTGGGGCATTTCTGCTCTTGAAATAAAATTCTGCAGCTTTAAAGGGCTATTAAAAACATCGTGCATCATTACCACAAATAATAAATGCAGGTAATACAACTGTATTGTCTGATGAATCATAAGTAATTGAAATAATACTTTTATTAATAACTTTCTCAAAAAATACTTTTTTTACTATGATAAAACAGTATAATAGTGAAAATTCTTCTGAACCCAAGGCTGTTTCAGTTATTTTGAAAATTATAGTAATGAAATAATCCAGGGCACATGGATGGAAACTCAACCTATTGGTTTATATAGTTGTGTACGTTTTTTTCATGATTACTATTATATTAATCTCTTGGGGTTCTTTTTTTCCCCTCCAGGAGAAGTACCTTTACAAGCAGTTTGAATCTAGTTAGTTCATATGGGTGGGTAACTGCACCACTACTTCAGCAAACCTGTCTCAGGTTGGCGCTGCTCTCTCTAGAGGCTGGAGTGCAGCAGGAGCATCTTGGAGCAGGGCAGAAAGTACTTCCCTTTGCATCTACCTGGGTTTGCTGTATGGTGCAGAGAGAATGGAGTTTATAGCTCTTAATCTCCTGATGATCCAGGAGTGGTGTTTGTCTCTGGAAGGATGGTGAAGAAATAGACTGTGTGGGGCCCTTGGTGTGAAAAGTGTAGAAAGGAGCTCTTATAACTTCCAGTGCAAGCGACCTGACAAAACTCAGATCTTTAGCACAAAGCTCTGTGGGCTTTCTTCCATGACTTCTGTGCAATACTGAGCTCCTTTGTTGTGCTTTGTTCTAAAGGCACATGCTCGTTCTCTGAGATAATTAAGCTTTGTTATAGGCGTGTTTCTCTTCCTTCTATGAAATGAGGAATTTGCTGCCTTTGAAAAGTCTTGTCTGGCAGTCCCAGATGCTGCAAGACCTTTGCTAGGCTGTAAAGCAAGTTGCCTTTCCTGGGAGACGTAGTGTGAGCTGGGACAGTGCCCTTCTTCCATCCCAAGCTGTGAAATGAAGGTTCATCTCTAGCAATGCCAGCAAGGTGGAGTGGTTTTACAAGGTGCATGTAAGTTATATAGTGAGAGGGAGCCTGGGCTAGAACTTGTCACCTTCACTCCGCCCTAGCAAAGTTCCTCAGGCTTGCTGCAGGTGGCTTTCTTCACCTGGTGAGTGATTGATATCCCTATGTCACTCCTTGATGCCCATCTCCTGCCCTGTCCCTGCCCCTCCATTCAAGATTCACACCCACAGTGTGGGTGCACATCCATCTACTGTAGACAGTAAAAACCATGCCCCCTGGTCACTTTAAATGGCCATTGGTAGAGACTCCAGTGTGGTAACAGAAGTTCAAAAGACTTATTGATAAGGTCCCTAGCCAGTCAGATAGTTTAGAGTACATTTGCTTTCTAAATAGAAAAGAAAGAAGATGTCAATCCTTTTATTTTTCTATGCTGTAGCCCTTGAATCTCAAACAAGCTAGGAGAGAGTGTTTTGCATTTGGTGATTACATTTTAAAACACCCAGAGCAAAGTTGTTTATTTCTTAACGAGTTGAAACTAGAAGTCTGTTTTTTCTGCTTTCAGTTCAGTCTTACATCCCTGCAGTTCCACTGACATGACTTTCTTTTTCATTTGCAGCAAAATAATGGACACCATAATTTAGACCCTGCTTTATTGCCAAAAAGATTGTTCTTGCCTTTTTCCTATTATTTGGGTATACAAGAATATATTAGTACATTTTCCAATACCTATAATTTGGTTGATGCAAAATTTCCACGAGTTCTTGGAGTACAAAAAGAGCAGCAATGGCCAAAATGGAGTGCATTATACAATTCTCAGTCTAGAACTTATGAATTTATGTATGAGAACCAATCTGACAAGAACTAAATAAAATATTTTTTCAGAGTTTATTGGTTGAGGTTCCTGTGCTGATTAGAGTGGTTACCAAAAAATTTGACTTATTCATATAATAACAGAGGCTAAAAAAATAAGCTGTATTAGGCCTGTGATTACAAAACAAGCAATTATATTTTCAACCTGCATTTATGAGGTGGTACCATCTCCCCACAGTAGTAAGATCTCAGCATTAGAACTGAAATCTAGTTAACTGACTGATAAATGTTACTATGTGATAGAGATGTTTGGTTTGCTGATCAGTTATTCCAGTGAGTGAGTATTGCAGAGGACTCTCCTTGCCCATATTTCAGCATATTTTGGGCTTAGGATCTTAGAGCTGCTACTCATGCAGACCCTCAAAAAGACCAATAGTAGCTCTTTGCTTTCCCACTGATTGAGGTACAGCTGTGATGTGCAAAAGGAAGCGCAGGAGATATTTGCAATATTGATCTTGGGCTAGAGCTTTTGTTGAGAAAAGACATCCTAACATTTGTCATTGGGATTGCAAACAAGCCTTGAAGGCAGCAACACTCTGTGTACACATACTAACTCAATACCTCACCTCTGCATCTTCCAGTCACTACCAGTGACTTCTGGGGACTGAATGGACTGGCCGGTGCCTCCTGCAGAGAATAGAGACAACTTCTGTCTTGTGCTGCTTCCAACTCCTCTTACCATAAGACAACTTTTTTTATTTGCTTTTTTTTTCTTTTTTTTTGGTAATATGGAGAAACTACGTGAATCGGGGTCAGGAGTCATAGACTACTTAGTACTACAGGGAAGATGTCTGACTCCTAGTTTGGTCCGCAGGGGAAACGTTCGTTTTTCCTCTTTGCTGTCATTCTAGAAACTCAGTGAAACAAAAGTACTAGGTCCTCTTATTTTTAAAAATTTTTGTTCAAACTGTTGATGCCTCTGTGCTAACATGCAGGTCTCTCTGAGCAGGTCATGCTAATTCTCTTCAGGAGAACATACTGGACTCAAAGTCAGCGGGGTTGCAATTCCCATTGTCATTTACACATGTGCAAGGGACTGTGATCTGACAGTCTGACCCCTGTTGTGTACAAGACTAAGTCATTATGTGAAGTTCAGAGCAACAGGGAATTTGATCTAGGACTGTTTTGTCCAAATAGGACTCTTGTAGCTGATTGTTTTCTTTTGTCCCCTTTGGCTTTTAACTGTTGGAAAAAAGCCCACCAGTTCAGGAAAAAAAAAAAAAGGCACTCAGAAAAGCCTGCAGATAAAAATCCATGTCTAAATAATTGACATTAAAAAAGCTAAGATAAGGAGCATGAAAGGAAGACATCCTTCTAATATAACTATGCTGTCTGATCTTCTCCCTGAGAAAGACGGCCATTTAATTTCCTTCTCTGCTCCTTATTGCTCTGAACTATGTGTAAATAAATGTGAAAAAGGAGCCACACTCCTAATTTTTTTCCTAGGTTCTATGAGTTTGGCACTAGCAAACACATTTCACTCTAGCAAACCTCCATCTTCCTTTCAGTTTTCATCCATAACTCATCCAAGGTAAATTTAATTTTAAAATTTCACTTGTCTTTATTTGGACACAGTTTCTTCATGTTGATTTCACCCTCATGTATATCCATAGATATAAACAAACACATTCTTGTTCATAGGTATGTGGAAGAAACTTTATTTCCCAAGAATTAAGTACATGATAATACTGTTTTCACACTAGTGGGCAGAACTGGAGAGACAATAGACAGAAAATGGGCAGCATTGATCAAGCTTGCAGTTATGCAAAACAGCACTCAGTGTCAGCATATGTTCAGCCTGAGGTCCAGGGTTTAAAACATCATCTTTTGCAGTAGTGCATTTTTGAATTCAGACCTAACTGCACTGTAACTGGATGGTACACCTCAACGGGTCACCTCAAATACTGTGTTCAGTTTTGGGCCCCTCACTGCAAGGACACTCAGGTGCTGGAGCGTGTCCAAAGAAGGACAACAAAGGTGGTGAAGGCTCTAGAGAACAAGTTTGGTGAGGAGCAACTGAGGGAGCTGGGGTTGTTTAGCCTGGAGAAAAAGAGGCTCAGGAGGGACCATACTGCTCTCTATGACTGCCTGGAAAAAGGTTGTAGTGAGGGGGAGGTTGTTCTCTTCTCCTGGATAACAAGTGACTGGACCAGAGGAAACAGCCTCGAGTTGCACCAGGGGAGGTTTAGAGTAGACATTAGGAAAAATTTCTTCACTGAAAGGGTTGTCTAGCATTTGAACAAGTTTCCCAGGGAAGTGGTGGAATCACCATACTTGAAAGTGTTCAAAAGGCGTGTGGATGGGGCACTTGGGGACGTGGTTTGTTGGAGAACGCAGTGGTAATAGGTTAATGGTTGGACTCCACGGTCTTAGAATCCTTAAGGTTCAGAAAGTCCTCTATTTTTCTAGGATTCTGCACCATCAAGTAGTTAAGACACTGAACTGCTCTCAGTGAAAAGTTGAAGTTGAAAATGAGTTTATTGAGGTTAATGATAATTATCCATGGGCTTTGGACCTGCACAGTCCAGAGAAGAGGAAGAAAGACCCATGCACTCATGACAGATTGTAGTATAAGGCTATTTCAGACACAGTGTAGTGTTAAATAGCCAGTGTGCAAAACAGTGTGGTCCAGTCGTCCCAGTGCTGGATTGCAACTCAGAAGTTATGGTATAATTCCTGGTTTTACCATTGATTTCTATTCACAATTGCCTTCCTGTCTGTTTTTGCCCATCATTTATCTGTCTTGTCTATTTTGATCACTGAAGAAGCTGTCTTGGACACCCCACATATTAGACTTAGTGTCAAAAAATAAGTAATGGTATTAAAAGAAATAACTGTTCTTAGTTTGATGCTGATCTGTTTAATGGAATACTTATCTTGACATGCTTACCATTTTGTGGTGATAAAAGGAGTTAATGGACATGTATTTTTATCAACTATTGTACTGAGCTTGAGAATCTACAGTGTGGAAAAATATCATGAAAAAATTAAGCATGTTTTCCTTTTCTCCTGAAATCTCTGTGACTACAGGTATTGCAGCTGGGCTCTGAAATCCTCCCACAGTACAAGCAAGAGGCACCAAAGACTCCGCCACATATAATTTTGCATTATTGCGTTTTCAAGACCACCTGGGACTGGATCATCTTGATTTTAACCTTCTACACTGCTATTTTGGTTCCTTACAATGTCTCCTTTAAAACCAAACAGAACAACGTGGCATGGCTAGTAGTCGACAGCATTGTAGATGTCATTTTTTTGGTCGACATTGTGCTCAATTTCCACACGACCTTCGTGGGGCCGGCAGGAGAGGTGATCTCTGACCCCAAACTGATTCGCATGAATTACCTGAAGACCTGGTTTGTGATCGATCTGCTCTCGTGCTTGCCCTATGATGTCATCAATGCATTTGAGAATGTCGATGAGGTCAGTATGCTGGTTCCACTTCCACCCATTAGTTATTACTTAGTGGTTGGGGGGGAGGTGGAAGCGAGAAGAAAGAAATGTATGCTTTTAAATATATTGAGCTACTGTACATATGCCACTAGTAGCCACCCACAGCATGCACAGAAGTTTGCCTATGAATCCTAGCTAGAAACGTCATTCTTTAGCTGCACTGGGAAAGGCTGTAGTTTTTGGTGTTTAAAAATCCGTGTTTACTTCATTATGCATCCTCAGAGTTCATGAGGACAGACAGAAGCAGGCAGCAGAACCTCTGTACAGCACTGAGGAAAACTGCTCTGTCTGACTTACTATGAATAGCTTGAACTGGTGTGTCAGGACGGTTTCTCGGGTCAGGCTTCTCTTGCTTTCACTGCTGACTGAACAGGGTACTTCTGCTAATGGCAATTCTTCACATGAACAATTGGGAAGTGAAATACACTTTTCTCAGCTGCTTCTGGTACACTATAGCAGGTGAAAAAGAGGCAGGCAGTGACTCACCAAATATTAGACCACCAGAAAGCACTGTGTGTATATCTGGTGATCCATGCAGCATTGTCTGGCAACAGTTGTTTTAGAGGAAGGTGAAGCAATTGAAGGTGCCTTTTTTGGTAATTTCATAATTAGATGAAAGGATAAGAAACCTAGACTCCTCAATTCTTGCTCATTTCTTTGGGAACAGATCACAATCCAGCAAAAGAACTACCATTCAGACACTTAAAACCACAATGCTGCCTCTGCTTATTCTTTTGGATCAGTCTGCCAAGAAAATATTCCTAAATTAAATATATTAGGGGTACATGCCTAAATAGTTCAGAGAATTTATGAATTGCTAATAAAATCTTAAAGAGGATTCCAGCAGTCCGCTTTCTGGTTACATATTATAAAATATGTATCATCAACTAATTATGTGTCTAAATTTATCTCTGACACATACTAGAGATGTAACATGCAGAATCGCAGAATCACAGGATGGAGGGGGTTGGAAGGGGTCTCTGGAGATCATCTAGTCCATCTCTCCTGCTAAAGCAGATCCATGCAAAGCAGGTTGCACAGGATTCCATCCAGGTGGGTTTGAATAACTCCAGAGAATGAGAGGGATATGCATATGGATCTCATCGGGGTTTAGTATTTAATTTTTATCCTGCAAAATTTAAATTTTACGAGTTCCTTTAAAGTGTGACCATGTTACAAAGGACAGCCTAGCTATCAAAAGAAAACTAAGCCAAGTGAAATATATGGGCAAAACCAAAACCTCATTACTTTTTTAAAAAATACACTACTCAGGTTTTTATAAAATTTAAAGTATTATAGTGATTTTCTCAATGGCTCAAGACAAGTAGGCAAACTATTGAATGTAGTGGAAAAAATATGATGTTATCTGATATTTAATTCCCAAGAGAAGTTTTCATTTTATATCAAGCTACAGACTGAGAAAACACAAACGAGATCAAGCAAAAAAGCCTTGTGAGACCTGTCCTTAAGTATTTGTTTGTCACAGAAAGGGCCCAGACTGCAGATTATTCTGTAGGGCTTTCCATATTACTTTGCTGTGCCACTGATAAAGTGGAAGCAGTGGCCATATGTCAGTTTCTGACATTTAGATTGAAAGAGCAAAAATAATAAATAAATAATAATAACTGTAAAAAGAAAGAAAGAAAGAAATTAAGCAAGAGACAAAAAAGAGAAGGAAGCTTTTCTCACCCTCTGCAGATAGTAGCAACCTGGTGATGATTTTGCTGGAGGAACACTTTGTAACTTTAGACTGGTTATGTGACCTACAGAATATCCCTGAGGAAAATGTCTAAACCAGTGGCTGTGACAGCCCTCAAGCTGAGCACAGGTGCTTTTGAACTCATGGTAGCAATTCTTCAGAGAAATACTTGTGTAAGTTTGAATTTATCCAAGTTCTCCATCTCAGTATTGCCTTGTAACAATGAGAAGCTGATTGGTACTTCAGTTTTCCTACAGCTCTTCAACAGTCTCCTTAATCAGTATAACATCAGTATATAATGTTAGTTTTAGTTACTCTGCTATCATACCCAAAGAAAAAAAATAACCAACATTTTTCTTGATGCTGTCCTTTTAAGACTGTTCATCTCCATTTCCCTTAGCGGGTTCTGACATTTAGCTGGTATAAATCATTGTAGAGTCATTAGAGCAGAGTTTCCACTGGTGTAAATTGCTATACTTCTGTTAAGGGTTTGTCCTGGTTTATAGGACCTGAAGGGATTTGCCAGCAAATTCACTGACAGAATAACACAGTGCATATCAGGTGGGGGTTTAGGACAGTATATGCTGATCACTGTTTTAAGAGCTGCCTGTAGAGAGAAAGATAACCTTTTGTTAAAGAGGAAAAAAAATAAAAAAGTAGAAAATCTTTGCCTGATATCTTCCTTTCTGCTGTGTAGAGCATTCCCTTTTGGGACAACTCCCCTTTCTTGCTGGTTTAAATTTTGCCTGTCTCTTGCCAACTTCACAGTTGGATTAAGTCAGGTGTGAGGCTGTGCTGCTCAACTTGCAAGTAACCAAATTGAATTGTTATTTGTGTGCCACCTTAATTTTGCTGAAAGGAATTCCCTCGGAGCCATTGCGCTGAAGTTAGTAGGTGCCCATAGCTGCTGCAGATATTTTTTAAAAAGTCCTAGTGTGAATACTCTTGAAAAAATTGCCAGAGATTAAATTATACCCAGTGTTAACAGTGGTGATAAAATGAGATGAAGAAATTGAATTGCTGTTTTCCTGTTTTGATGTTTTCCATATATGATTTTAAACAGCACAAAATAGAATCCTGGCTTTGCTGCAGTCCCCATAGTGAAGGGGAACTGGGGCAGGTGGAACCTCACTTGTTTTCCTCTCTGCTGTCATTCTCTGTTAAAAAAACTGACACTGAAGTCACCGAGGATGTCATGGAGGAACTAACTTGACAAGTCAATTTGTTTTTAAGAATGCTGTAATTACTGTGATGGAGACTAATTGCTTTGCAAGGGACACAGGACGTGGAGCAATGAAGAAGTAAGAAACTGTATAATAGGGTACTGAGGCTTTTTTTGGCTCTGGACAATTTTGGGACTGTCCCATCACTTAACTCTTGATAGATTAATGATGAAACCATTGTTATCATCTTTAAAATGATCCACTAATATAAGAATAATTATAATAGATGAAACTAGAGTTGATCAATATTTTTGGCAAGCAGATACTCAATTGAAAAAAATTCTGTTATTGGATTTTTTCTATTTTGAAGTAACTTTTTATTTTGCAATTTACTTATTATTACAATATAAGATATATAAGAAAATATTTTCTTGAAACAAAATTGTGTGACTTCTGTGTTTTTCAGGCAATTTCAAAATTCTTTGGGTTTGTTGCAGTTTGGAACATTAGTATATTTTCAATTTACATTTTTCAATATAATTGAAATCCAGTTTCCTCTCTGCATGGTTGAGAATATTTTTGTCCTCAAATTATTTGAATTCATTAACTATTGATCAATACAACTATTAATAACTACAATTAATTCAAGAGGCACTTAAGTATGAATAGCCACATTCTACAGATGGAAGAGGAAAGAAAAAACATTAATGTCTTTGTTCATGGGCATATAATTAAGTATGAGACTGTATGAAGCTTCTCATCTCGAGTTCTGTGCTCAAAGAGGCAGTACAGCATCTTATATTCAGACATGAACAGAATTCAACAAATAAAGAAATGAATAGCTGTAGAGAAATTTCTATTGTTAATCCAAATGAAAGAAAAGTTATAAATGTTTCTCCTGGCTTTTATATATGGGAAGCTAATTATGTAGTTAAATACTAATTACTTTCTTGACCTGCCATAGAACTTCAAGAGAAGAAAATATACCCCTGATTGATGAATCAATTTAATGCTAGGCTTCAACTTTCTATTGTTAAGACAATACATCATGCTGTAATTTAGTTTGAGTAAGAAAAGAAAATATTGGTCTAAAATTTACACAGCGCTTAAAAACATGTGGTGTTAGTCTCTTTCAAATTTGAATGATCTCAGTAACATTTGTCAGTAATCCTTTACAGTAATTAGTATTATTCCTCACTTAAGGAAATACCACATACTTTGGGGGATAATGTTATCTTTTTGTGTTCAGACATCAATCAGTAAATTTAACAAAGACCAGGCTTAAAGAAAATTCCACAATTTTTTCCAAGAACAGTGCAATTTAAGGCTTTGAATTCCAAAGCATACTTTTGCAGTGTCAGCTTGAGCAATTTTATACTGTGGTTTTCGGCCATAATACCATAAGATGTAATTTATATTGGAAAAAATTTGACTTATTACATGTGATGCAGTTGTTGTGAAATCTCATGGTACAAGTGGAATCCAGTCATGTCACCACCATATAAATCTCTGAAATGGGGAGTTTTTAGTAGTAACTGCTATGTGTATTTGAACAGAACACTATGATCAATTGTTAGCTGATGCCAAATTGAGAACCATATATCAGTCTATTAGTTGAGGTAGAAGAGAAATAAATGCACAGCCAAAGGTCATCAGGAAAGATGTATTCGATATAAATGATCTAATGTTCACTTAAGTGAATGAATAAGAGAGAAGCTAGCATGCAGGCGAAGAAGATACACAGCTTTGAAAGGACAACATTTATGATGATAGAGAAAGTTCCAGAAAAAAACCATAATACAGATGTAATAGAAGTAAATTAAGCTATTTAGTGCCAAGTAAGCGTGGTGTAGCTGGAAAGTAAATAGTGATTCGAGAGAGGGAAAAAATGAATGTGTTGCTGGTCAAATTGTTGGCAACTCTCTGAGGCAGTACTTTTGCAATAGATTAATTTAAACCTTATTAGTGGAATAATCTCTCATGCTAATACAAATTAGCTATCTAGGAATTACTGAATTAGCTACACTGGAAAGCATGCAACATTCCTAGACTTTTTTTTTACCATTGCATGCAATAAAGGGCAAGGAAATAAATTATTGTATTTGCAG